TCCTCTCCACCTATCTTCTCCTCTATCCATCTTCTATCCGCCTCCCCCTCTCTCCCTATTTATTTCAGAACCCCCTTCCCCTCCCCCTTTTCTGATGAAGGGTCTAGGCTTGAAACGTCAGCCTTCCTGCTCCTATGATGCTGCTTGGCCTGCTGTGATCATCCAGCTCTGCACCTTGTTGTCTCGAACTTTTCCAGCAACTTTGTTTTTGTTCCTGATTTACAGCATCCGCAGTTCTTTCAGTTTTTAGGAAATCTCCTGTTCCTGTCCCGTTTACCAGTTCAGAACCCGGGCAGTTTCTAGGGGCTGTCGGGGCACAGTGGCCTTTTATATATAAATATAAACCTGTGGCACCACGTTGCTGAGGTAGAAGGTGTCGTCCATGCATTTCTGGCTGTGGCGGTGGTTAGCGGCGGCGGCGAGGTGACCCCGGTCGAAGCCGCTGCCCTTGAAGTCGCTGTTGCGGGCCCGGTGATACTCGTGAACCGAGTCGTCCTCCCGGAACTCGCAGCGGCCGCGCTCCGAGCTTTTCTGCTTCAGGCGGCCGGCGTCCAGCTGCTCCAGGACCCAGGAGGCGTTCCTGGTCCGGGGGTCGTAGGCCAACACATAGGACTCCCGGCTCCGGAGCTGGGATACCGCCGGGAAGCCGAACTTAACGATCTCCGGCACCGCCGCCGGACCTAACAGCGCCGGGGGTCCGCTCTCGGCCGCCAAGCCCGGGATCACCGGGAAGCCGCTCAGCGGATCCACTCGATCCCGGTGGATCCCGAGGGTCAGGCCCAGGCCAGTGCCAGCGGCCAAGGAGACTCCGGCCAGGAGCCAGCGGGAGCTCAGTAGCCTCCGCATCTCGGTGCCGAGGGGAAATAGAAACCGCCTCGTGTATCAACTGGAACTTTGTTACTTTGTCGCCACAACTTGTCCCCAAAATGTTACCAGGGCAGGAGCTAATGTGCACTAGTCACCCTGAAAGCTCGCTCTTAGCTTAAAAGGCAGAATAACGCGTGAATGCTGGAAAGCAGATGCCAATACATTTAGAACATGGAGCAGTACAGGCCCAAAAACAAAGTTGCAGGAAAAGCTCAGCAGGTCTGGCAGCATCAGTGAAGGAGAAAACAGAGTTAACGTTTCGGGTCCGGTGACCCTTCCTCAGAACTGAGTAGCAGTACAGGCCCTTCGGCCCACGATGTTGTGCCGACCTACTATCCTACTCTACTACCCTGCATTTTACTATCCTCCATGTGCCTATCCAAGAGTCGCTTAAATGTCCCTCATGTATCTGACTCCATTATCGCCGCCGGCAGTGCATTCCACACGCCCACCACTCTCTGTGTGAAGAACCTACCTCTGACATCTCCCCTATACCTTCCTCCAATCACCTTAAAATTATGCCCCCTCGTAATACTCATTTTTGCTCGGGGAAAAGTCTCTGGCTATACATTCTATCTATGCCTGTCGTCATCTTGTACACCTCTATCAAGTCACCCCTCATCCTTCTTCGCTCCAATGAGAAAAGCCCTAGCTCCCTCAACCTTTCCTAATAAGACTGCCCTCCAGTCCAGGCAGCATCCTGGTAAATCTCCTCTGCACCCTCTCTGAAGCTTCCACATCTTTCCTATAATTAGGCAACCAGAACTGAACAGAGTATTCCAAGTGTGG